GTTTCAAGGAATACACTAATTACTGCCAAAGGGCAAAACTCGTCAGTAGTGATTCCTCACCAGAAAGTATCCTCGACAAAGGAAGAAAAAATGCAAGAGGAAAATTAAGTGTACCCCATCATTTGATCTCAATGAGGAGAGGGGTAGAAGAAAAATCAAATCGTAAAAAAAAGCTTAGATTCTGCAGACCCATTAGTAATCTATATATAAAAATTAATAGCATAGCTAACTGTCTTCCCCTCAGTGTGAAACACTCTTTGTATGTGGATGACTTTCAGATCTCCATCATGAGCTTTATCGAGAGACAACTGCAAATTTCCCTAAATCGCATAGACCATTGATCAAAGATTAATGGTTTTAGTTTTAACATAGAGAAATCCTCATGCATCCACTTCTGTCGAAGGCATGGTTTGCATTTGGACCCTGAAATTCACCTAAATGGGGTTAAAATTCCAATGGTCAATGAGACGAAGTTCTTGGGAGTTATATTTGTTTCCAAACTGACATTTTTACTGCACTTGCGCAATTTGAAGAGTAGATGTTTAAAATCTCTGAACCTTTTAAAGGTACTGTGCTGTTCATCCTGGGGAGCAGACAAATGTTCTATGCTTAAAATTTACAGGGCCCTTGTCCGCTCAAAGCTGGATTACGGATGTGTTGTGTATGGCTCTGCGAGGGAATCTACTCTTCGGATGCTGGATCCAATCCATCATTGAGCTCTACGTTTGTGCACTGGTGCTTTTCGAACTTCTCCTGTACAAAGTTTGTACGTGAATGCTTATGAGCCTCAACTATCTCTCAGGAGAGAACAGTTGTCTCTTTTTTATTATATAAAACAGATATCTCGTACTATGAAGGTTTAGTACGAGTTGATGATACAGTATCAGTTACTCAGCTGAAAAGGTTATTTGAAGCTCGCCCAAGTAGTGTCCCTACATTTATCATAAGAATGAAGAATGTGAACAGCACGATTGACTTTAAATTCGTATGTTTCGTTTGTGTATATATGTGTTTCCCTATTTATTTTATTTCTCCAATTGTACCATGTGTCATGGCGCAGTATAGCCTGCATGGCTTTTGTGCCAATAAAAGTTAACCAACCAACCAACCAACCAACCGAATATATGTCTGTGTGTGTCTCTTTCATGCATTACCACACTGTTTATCTGATTGCCATGAAACTTTTGGGCATTTTTAATACACTCCCGCAAAGGTTTCTGGCATAGTACATTTATGCTACAATAGATGGCGCGCGTGTATATGAGCATTTTACTGTGATTGATTTCAAATTGTGAGGACCATTTCCCCCCTCCAAAAAATATCTCTATATATGCATTTGTTATTTATGATATTTGTAATAATTTTTGTTTAATCACTTTATTTCAACTTTTTTTGCTAATTATGTATTCACTTGAACTTTGTTCAAACCTTAACTGTATCCCGAACAACAACCGAAGTTGTAGAAGGAAATTCGCCTATTTTACCGATCTAGGAATCCCCCTTTTCCAAATTTTAATATCAACTCAAATATAGGATTGGCAACTAAGTGATTGCAAATTTTGTCAATAGGTGGCCTTAGCACATTTTTTGCTTTGTCATCGTGTTCAAAGCATTTAACCTATATCGTTTTCTTATTGTTTGGACTTCGTGCCATCTAGCAACCTGGCAAAAAGCTAAAAAAAACCGCACCAATGAAAATGATGCTATTACGTAAGTAGTAAAATTTAACTGTACTTTTATCACTTGCTGCACATCATAAAATGGACGCGACGTTCCGCAAAGGAGGTCGGGCCGGACAAAACTGGCGATTACCGCCCGACTTACTTTCGTTATCGGCGCTCCGATCAAAATTTGTATTAATTACGTACGCCGGTAGATGGTTTGGAACATTTCGAAACTCGATTAAACGACAGTTTACGTCGTCCAGCTGTAATCGGTGTAAATCTGTCGAGTCTGTTTCCCATCCTGTGCGTGCGCGTTGTTGGTGGTGGTGTTGTTGTTCGGGTGTTGTAACGACCAGAAAAACACAAAGATAAAATGAACCTTTCATTTTATTTCTGTAAAAAGGGGAGGGAAAAAGGCAGGCCTACTTTGCCCACAACCCAACAGTCGACGTAAAATCAATCTAGCCGTAGTGCCGGCCAACCGTTGTCCAACGAGGCCTGAAAAACAAAACGTGACGGGAACATCAGTGTCGGGTCGATGTAAGTCTGAGTTTGGCATCTGGTGAGACCAGACGTATGTCAGATCACTCTGCACTTAGAAAATTTTCCAAGTTTACTGTTAGGACTAGATCTAGGGTTAGCGGTCCCTCTCCCATACAAAAGTATAGGATTTTAGGGACAAGTTAGGCTTAGCTCAGGTTTCAGGCTTAGCTTCGCTAAGCCTAGTTTTTTGCCAAACTTTAATTCCGAAAGTTTTGCATTTTGGAGCCAGCCAATTGCCTTCTCCAGCTCTTAGCCTTCAGAAAACAGGTAAAGCAGCCATCTTGTTTACCTTCTGACCAAGACTGAAGAAGACAGCTATAGCAGCCATCTTGCTTTCTTCAGCACCTGGATAGTGGAGAGCTGTTTTGGCAGACATAGGGTGCATTCGTTAATAGCAGTTGCTCTGCGTCTCCGCTACTACGGGAGTGCGCTGCTATTTGAAGGCATTTAGGAACGACGGTGAAAGAAAGAAAGATGGCGGCGCTCGCACTATCAACAGTATCGTGACTGAGGAATCTATAATTCTAAAATATGACCTTTTAAAGGCAAAAAAGAGTCCCAATTGTAAAATTTAACCATAAAATAGATTATTTGTTGAAAAAGCATTCAAAATAGCCACGAAAAAAATTAGAATGCCGGCTACCATCCGAAAAAAATTCGAAAAGACACTTACATCACCGCGTGCACTAACTCGCGCTTTCACAACTTCTAAATTTTCATTCATAAAACCACATAATGGACCCCGAAACGAAACTATTTGACCCATTGAGGACGCCATGTTGCTTTCCACCGCAAACTACTGTTACAAGCGGCCGTTTTTGCCGTTCGACGGCGCGCACTCTGACCAGAATTTAGGAATGCGTTCCGCAGGAATTTTTAAACGGATGTCGCTTGCGCGGAGTTCCGCGGAGGAATAAAAGAACACACCCATATTGGACTGTGTTTTGGGGGCAGCCATCTTGCCTTCCCCAACACCAAGGCAGAGGAGGACATCTTGGGCAGCCATTTTGGGTAAGTGGACTGGTCTACTTTTTGCTTTGGTGGGACCTGCCATTGCAGTAGTCAGGTCCCTTGCCAGCCTGTGGTTTCTCAGGCCAAGCTAGCTTGGCCCTGTTGGAATCACCATCTACCCTAGTAGGAAGGTGACACAGGGCTTGCTGGTGTCAACCATCTACATCAGGCAGGTAACCTGTTGCGTTGGGCAAGACATCTTCAACATCTTCAGCATTCAACTTGTAGCGTTCGGCAAGACTTCTCAACAGTAAACTGTAGTGTCGGGCAAGACTGTCTCTGGCTCATCACAGCATCGTGGGAGCGATCTTCGAGTGCCCAAGTAGCTTCGCCAACAGCAGGGAGGGACAACAACTGTCTACGGTCAACAAAGAACAGCAAAGAGTCAGCAAAAGTATAATCTTACTTCACGGCACTTGGTGACATCCTTGGCAGATCTACTTAACGTGATAACCATGGAAGACATGGAAGATGAAATGGATTCATCAGCAACAGATTGTGAGGCCACCTCAAGACCCAGTTCCCCGGCACGGTACTCCCAGGACGAAAGCACCTTCTCCACACTGGAATCTAAACTATTAGCTGAATCTCAAAAGGACCTTCAACGTATCATGGAACTACTACCGCTACCAAGCAAGTCCAACCCCTCAGTCCCCGATAAAAAGGAGATAAGGGAGAGGGTGACCTCTATGTTTGCCACCATAAATAAACTGTATGGCAGCCTGGTAGAGCTCAGGGCTACCAAGAATTCTACAGAGAATACTACGGTCAATATGCATTGTCAGTGCCAACAGGCGCAACCAAGGCAGGCCCCCTCTTACTCTGACATAGTAAAATCCAATATACCACAAAGTTCTACTACGAAAACAATATCCAGATCCATAAGTAGAAAGATCCAGAGCGAAGGCTGCAATAGCAGTTATGCACTGATAGTTTATCCAAAAGAAACCGAGAGTAACAGCACAAATATGGAAAAAATTCAAAGCAGTATTATAAAAGGGGTGAAGCCGGATGAACTAAGAATCAAAGTAACAGCAATAAGACAAGTGAAACAAAACGGCCTTTGCTTTCGCACCAGCAGCAGAAAAGACTCCATTATTTTGGAGCAAGCGGTCCAAGGGCTCCCGGAAGTCCAACCGCAAATCAAAACCAGAGTCTCGGAAAGCAGACGCCCGAGGGTCATCCTGCTGAACGTCCCTTACTCGGTGGAAGACAACAAAATCATCGATACGTTACATGAGCAAAACGACTCGCTAAGCGGGATAAACAAAGAGGAATTTGAGGCTTCCACTAGAATAAGCACTACTCTCACGAGAGGCATCACAAAAGAAAATTGCCGCCATGTAGTGCTCTCTACCACGCCATACATAAGAAACCAACTTAATAATGAGAAGTTCATTTCCCTCTCATGGGCAAACATACTCATAGATGATTACGTGCACATCACCCGTTGCTTCCAATGCTGCGGGTTTAACCATCTTGCACGGGACTGCACTTCGAAACAATACTGTAGCCATTGCTCCAAAGCACACAGGTATAGTGAGTGCACAAGGAGGGAGCAACCAGCGTGCTGCATTTCTTGCAAAATAGCAAACAAGAACCTGGCCCCAGAAAAACGGCAGCCAACAAACCACAATGCCTTCGATCCAAAATGCCCACACACAATCAAAATAAGAGAACAAATCATAAAACAGACTAATTATGGGAACTAACCTCCAACTCGAGAACCGCAAGCTGCTACAAATTAACCTGCAATGGTCAAAGGCTGCCTCTACTGAAGCAATGCATATGGCCAACACACACCAAGCGGACATCCTGGTGGTCCAGGAACCGTACTGCTACGACAATGAAATTGCCCTCTTCAGCAAACTAATCATCTTCAGCCACAAGGACCCAGCAGGAAACCCTAAGACAAGCATAATCATGATTAATAAGAGCATCAACGCACATCAATTGACCCAACACACCGGGAAAAACTATACTACGATAATAATCAAGTTACAAACAACTACCATGGCCATCATTTCTTTCTACTGCTCGCCTTCGGAGGATATCACACACCCCCTGGAGGAACTACAAGAAACAATGAAACAGCTTAAAGGAATACACATCCTGGTCGCTGGCGACTTTAATGCCAAATCACAGATCTGGCATAGCCCAGTGGAGGACCCAAGGGGGTACAAAGTTATTGAGCTAATCAACAGCCTGAACCTACATTCTATGAACACCTGTACACTGGCCACCTACTCCTCCTCCACAGGTGAAAGCTGGGTGGCCTGGCAAATCGCCATCTCATCCCCTACAGTATACAGTGTAAGACCCTCGATGATCATTCGGCAAGCGACCACCGGTACATCGAAACCATACTCGGTGCCGTTAAGGTGGTCAAGCAGCTCTGTATTCGCCAAAAGACACAATGGGACCACTTTCAGGAGTATATCCAGCTAAACTGGATCACCAGCCCTTTGGAAACCATGGACAAAACTGAACTGGAGTGCACCATCGACAGGCTGCAAAAACTCATTCTCACTGCCTATTTAGTTGGCAGCGATTTGCTTGGTCAAGTTGTGTTAGTTTCAGCTCTTGGTCATTTGTGCGATTTTTGCCGAAAAATAAGTATTAACATGTGGTTTTTTGTGGATTATGTTTTCGTAAGTCAAGAGGAACGATAAACAGTTAAGTGGAACATTCTAATTTTTGAACTTTTTGAATTTCGGGCATTTACGTACTTTTTCCGAACAATCGGAACTTGGAGTACCGATCAACCGGAACAATTGACGGTATCTTGAGCGGACTGTTTATATAAGCAACGTCCTAAAATTTTGGGGTCCTTGGACCATCTGTAACTAAAATAATGACTTACTTCCGGTTTTCCATGGAACGCGAGTATTTCGCTTCCGGTATATTTCTACCCAATTTCCTCTGGGTGTTTCTTTAAGCACATTCCTAGCAATCTTTTCTAAAAATTTGATTATAATATCTTTAATATTTTTTGAATAATGGCCATTCCGGTTTTTAATTCTAAAATCAACATTGATCATACTTCCGTTGTTAAGGCTAAGGTCATTGACCTTTGTCCATAGATACGCAACATATAGGTTTAAAGTTGATATTCTAAGGCATATTAGATATAAAAGTCTGGATAATTATATATTTTTGGAATCGGGACATTATAAGGAATGCAATGGTTAAATATTTATATATATATATAGGACAATTACATAAACCGTAATTAATAATTGTATTTTAAAATTATTACTGTTATATTGTTTAATATGGATAACAAAAAGAATACAATTGAAGTATTTCATAAAAACGCATATGATATTATAAATGAGATCAAAACATATGCCATAGATAACCCAAATAAGAAAATTGGTACAGCCATGCATATGCAATATATCATGGACCAATTCACTAGACTAATTAATTTAGCTGATGATGCCATTAATAATCTTGAACTACCTGAAATACTTGAAAAGAAAATGACATCTTTAGCTAATAATGATGATTTGATAAATATTACTTGCCCGGCGGAAGTTATTAATAAACAAACTACTGTTTTGGAAAAACTAGAGAAAATAGAGAATATTACATCTAAACTTGATTTGATCGTGAATACCACTCAGGAACAAAATATGATTCTCGATAGGTTGAATGATAGATTAAAAGGGATTGAAGAAAAATCTGTTCCAATAACATCCACTGAAGAACTAATTGATGCACAGACAGCTGTACTAGAAAGATTGAATAAGTTCGATAAGCTGAATGAAAGAATAAACGTAATTGAAGAAAAATCTATTCCAAAAACATCCTCCAAGGAACTAATTGAAGTACAGAAAGCTGTACTAGAAAGATTAGATAGAATTGAGGTTAAAGAAACTCAAATTGATACACAAATGCCATTATATAGCGAAATAGTAAAAAACGATAGTAATAAGAATTATAAGCGAGAAACACAAAAATCCTTCTCTACTAAAGAGGTCATTTTAGTTTATAATAGAGATAAATATAATACTAATAGCGACGTGGTTCGAAAAATGATGCAGATGAAACTAAAGCCTTCTAATATGCATATTGGTATTGAAAAATTACGCAAAGTTCGAGGAGGTGGAATAGCTGTTGAATTGGGTAACAAAAGGGATGCAATATTACTGGAAAAAACCATAGAAGAACAAATACCTGAATTAGTTACTCATCGGCCTAAAAAGAAATGGCCTCATATAATTATCTATTCTATTCACTCTGATATAACGAAAGAAGAGCTGCCGATATTAATTTATCAACAAAACCAATCAATAAGTGATAATATTAAGGAGAAGGAATTTATTAGACAATTGCGAATAAAGTTCTCCACAGGAAAAAGGAACGCCACTTATAAAAACTGGGTTTTTGTGGTTTCCCCTTTTGTAAGGAAACTATTTCTGAGAATGGACAAAATCAATATTGAATGGTCGCGTTGCAGGGTCGTTGACTTCTGTCCGATCCTGCAATGTTTTAAATGCTGCGGATACAATCATTCCTCAAGAGACTGCCCACAAACATATTACACTTGTAGCCATTGCGCAGGGGAACACACTTATAAAGATTGTCCAAATTTTGAATATGAACCAATATGTTGTAACTGTCAACATGATCATGCTGGAAATCATACACATAATGCTCGTGATGGCTTACGCCCCATGAAACAGCGTATCAGAAAATATATTATTTCCAGAACTGAATATGGCACAGACTGATAATTAAAAATTAGTATTTTACAGATTAACATAGGCAGAAGCATTGCTTCTACCTCTATTTTAAGTGAGAAAATAAATAAATTTGATATAGTATTAATTCAAGAGCCTTACTGTCGTAAAGATATTCCTGCATGTTTACCTATGTATTGCCCTGTGCTGATTGGTACCAATAATTATCCGTGGGCTGCTACTCTTGATTCCTAACACCAACTTATCTATCATTCATCATACTAATTATAGCTGTCAGTATATTATCACTATAGAAATATTAATTAACAACATTAGAATTATAATAATCAATATCTACTTTCCCGGTGATGCTGATTCAAATGATTTTGTAATTAAACTACAAAATATTATTAATGCTTTCAAAGGTTCTTACTTCATATTAGCTGGTGATCTGAACGCACACTCTCCTACTTGGGGTGGTGATAATCTGGACAACCGTGGTAAGATGCTTGAAGACTTTTTTGGGCATAATGATTTACAGATTATGAATAATCCTTCTTCACCACCAACTTTCACATCACATAGTGGTGAGAGTTGGATCGACGTTTCTGTATGTAGTAATTATTTATACAACAAAATTATTAATTGGAGAATTCTTGACGATGACAGCTTGACAGGGCATTCTTTCATTGCTTTCGATATTCTTGGTTCCGATGATGGTCTTACTCCTGCTTATATACCACGTTTAAAATATCTTTTAAATAGAGCAGATTGGATTGCTATCAAAGATTATCTTGAGAATAATTTAGATTCTTCATATTCAGAAAATTTCCTTGAAGCTAAGAATCAAATCGACAAAAATATAAAAACCATATCAACGGCTTGTCAACTATATATCCCTAAAGGGGCTTCTAGCAGGAGATCAGTTCCTTGGTGGACGCTCAAGTTAGAACAACTGCGTAAAACCACCAGGAAATTAAGAAAAGTTTATCAAAAATGCAGAAATGAACAACTCAGGGAACAACATAGAACTGCTTATCTTAACTCTCAAAGAATATACAAACTAACAATTAAATCCGAAAAAACGCAAAGCTGGCGCATTTTTTGTACTAGAGCATCCAATAATCCTTGGGGATTTCTTACAAAAATGTGCAACAATAAATTACGTAAGACAAAAATCATGACATCTTCTGTCAATGACACAAATGAACCAACTACTCTAATTGATGAACTTATTACACAGTTGGAGGTCTTTTGTTCTACTGACAACCCCGAAGATGACACGGATGTACAAAAGCGCATTTGTCTAGAATCAGATATTATAAACCACACTGAGGACACGCCACAGTTTACTGACAGAGAAATAAATTTGGCGTTTTGTAATTTACAATCAGGTAAAGCCCCAGGACCAGATGACATTACCCCAGAACTTGCGAAAAAATTATGGCTATTGATCCCTAATCATCTGACAAATCTATATAACATCTGTTTAATACACTCTATTTTTCCTCGGGCCTGGAAAATAGCAAGGGTCGTTCCGGTTCCAAAGCCTGGATCCCAAAATGAAGTAAGACCAATTTCTTTGCTTTCTATACTTGGTAAAATTTTAGAAAGACTAATAACAAATAGATTATCTTGGTTTGTCGAAAGTAGAAACTCTATAAGTGACGCTCAATACGGATTTAGGCCTCAAAATTCTGCCGAAATGGCAATAGAAAATATGGTACAATCTGTTCAAACCCTGCTTGAAAACCACAAGTACGTACTAGGGGTCAGCTTAGACATATCAAAAGCCTTTGATAGTGCCTGGTGGCCCCTGGTTAAGCTTCAATTACGTAAGATCAACTGCCCAAGTAACATCCAAAGAATGTTACATGATTACCTACATGAGCGTGAAGCAATTCTACAATATGGCCAGCACGAAGTTCGCAAGACAATCTCTAGAGGATGCCCACAAGGATCCGTTTGTGGACCTCTTTTATGGAACATTACTTTTGACGCTTTCCTGAGAGAAAACTTAGGATACATGAAATGCTTTGCATACGCAGATGACGTTATGTTATTGATTGGTGGCAGGTGAAGGGCAGAATTAGAAAATAAAGGTAACGAAATGCTACAGAATGTGTGCAATTGGGGTAGCAATCACAAACTATCTTTTAACC